ATGGACAAATTGGAGCAAGTCCAGCAGAGGGCAGTGAAAATGGTGAGAGGGGTAGGGGTCATGACTTCTGAGGAAAGGCCGGGGGAACTGAGGTTTTTTTTTTTAGTTTGGAGAAGAGAAGACTGAGAGGGAGTTAATAGCTAGCTACCTGAAGGGTTGTTTCAAAGAGGATGGAGCTGGACTTCTCAGCCATGGCAGATGACAGAACAAGGAGCAATGGGCTCAAGTTGCAGCAAGGGAAGTTGAGGTTGGATATTAGGAAACTCTCCCTGGGAGGGTTGTAAAACACTAGAACAGGTCACCCAGAGACATTCTAAAAGCTCCATCCTTGGAGGTTTTTAAGACCCAGGTAGACAAAGCCTTGGCTGGGATGATCTAGTTTGGGGTGGTCCTACTTTGAGCAGGGGGCTGGACTACATCAGCATTTCTCAACCCATGGGACAACCCAGAAGTGGGTCAAAAATGCACGGAAATGGTTGTGAACAAACTTTAAAGATGGATTCTCCTTTAAAAGGAAAAAAAGAAACCCCAAGCTTTTTCCTTGCAGGCTGGCAGAGTTCAAGCCTGCAAGGGGCAGCTTTGGGCCCCCCTACCCCACAATGGGGGGCTGGGGCCTGGGGACAGCAGGTCAGGAGTGAGGGCCACTGGCCACTGATGTTTACAAGTGGGTCCCAGTACAAAAGAGGTTGACAACCACTGGACTAGACCTCCTGAGGTCCCTTCCAACCCTAATTTTCTGAGTCTGTGAAAGCAAAATTTAAGTCTGCTTGAACAAAGTTATGTTGACTACCTCACGAGCAAGCCTGTCAAAAAGATACTGCTGAGTCACGACTTCATTCCAGTTCCTGTCCACTTCTTCCCCCAAATGGGAATCTTCACATTCTTTCAGCTTTATTAGAGCTGTGACCTGTATTAGATGAAAATACCACTTCTCAGCAAATGAACAGAATTCAGATCCAGCTGAGGCTGCCCTGTGCTGTATACTTCACAGCAAAAGTGGATGTGCAAGTTAGAAACTCAGGACTGAATAAGGCCATTGCCTCAGCCCTCCCCAGGGTTTCCAGCAGGAGAAGCATCAAAAACCCATCAAGGAACTGAGGCTTAGGTCAGCAGCCAGCAGCACCTCTGCACCACTGCCACTTCCTCCTCCTCCCAGCAAAAATGACCCTGGGCACCTTCCCTGGGTATTGCTCTTAAGTAGGAGATCTCCAAGTCACTTTACCTGAGTGCTGAAAGCTTCATCACTTAAATGCTTAATCTTTTCTTCAAAGCAGGAAAGAAATTCTTCTATCTTCTTGTCAACCAATTCAGAACTGAAATAAGAGCAACAGAGAATAGGAATGAATAATTTGGGTGGAGGGGAAGCCGGCAATTGTGACTATCCGATGCCAAATCCTACAAAGTAAAGAGCAGCAGTTACTTGAGAAACATTTTGACCATTCGGTAGAGTGAAAATGTTGGACTTAACATCCCACCTCCTGGCTGAGGGATGCTATACACAGAGGTTCCTCCTGAGCAGTGTGGTAACCTGGCTGCCAAGAAAAATTGTGGAGTAAAGCAATAGTTTCATCAACCAAGGGACTGATGATCAGTAGGGTATTATCTCAGGCACCTAGAACTAACACTGCCCTGAACTACTGGTGTTTGGATGTTCCCTGTCCCCAAGAGCTTACAGTCAAAAGCAGCGCAGAGAATGCAACAGCAAACTTGCTAGGCTACAATCTTCTGAGGAGGAAGATGCAGGTGTATTGGAAAAAGAGATCTCAAGTGCTCCTCACCCTCCTGACACTTGAGGCCCCTCCATCCTCTGAACTGAGCAACACCCTATTTCAGAAACTAATGATTACAGCACTTATCTCCCTACTGTGGGGGCCAGGGGAGTGGCTAGGCTCAGAGAGCCTGAGCCTGCCCTTACCTGCTTCTCTCCTCACACCTGGAGCCTGAGCATGCCTTTGTTTGCTTAGCTCCTCACCTCCTGCGGTGTCTTTTAATGGCACCTTTATAATGGTGGAGGTGCTAGTATGAAGTCTAACTGCTCTTATAAGTTTGGGACTTACTTGTACTTAGTTGCTTGTGTTGCCACAGTAACAGAGAAGCCAAGGATGCCTGAAGTATTTCTGCAGGTAGGGTACACGTGATAGCTGAAACCAAAAAGAGAGAAAGTCATTTCCCAAGCACAGGCCATTCTATCTGCAATGCCTAATGACCCAATGAGGCTCCTGGCAACACCTGGAGCAGCAGTTTTAGCAAGCAGGTGGCTATTAACGATACTGACATTTGAGTTCTTTCAGCAAATGGACATAGGCGAGGGCACACTCTTAATCCCTTTCAGAGCTCTGCAAATGTTTGGCAAGCAGGCGAGGGCAAATACTCATGCTGTGGGCAGTCCCAACATGGGGATCTCTCACCCTGCAAGAACGTTCAGCAGTCAGACTTCTGGGCAAACAGGGTTACAGCAGCCTCTCACGACACGTCAGCACCCTGCTGGGTGAGCCTTGGCACACTGCCAAGCAGGCACTGCCCACTCATACCCACAGCCAGACTAGTCCGCTGGCCCCGAGCATGCCGCCAGCACCACCTCAAGCTCTTGTGCTACGTGCTCAAGGCTGCTCTGAACCAGCGACTCTGCAGATGCACAACGTGGGCACTGGCTCAGCCAGGAGGCTGCTTCGATGTACCTGCAGATCACCTCAAGGGGTGTAAATGGACAGTGATGCTGCTGAAGTTGTGAAGAAGTGAATACTATCCCAGCAGCCCCCTCAGCTTGCTTCAGTGATCAGGGGAAAACTATACAAGTGGCTACTTGGGACAGCAGGAGGGAGATACCTTCAAGGAAGTCTACCAAGGAGGAGCGTGGCTCTGGAGCTCTCCACCAGACACATCCCGCTTACACTGACCACCTCCCCTCTGACCATGGACTCTAAGCTAGAAGGACAAGACCTTGCTGACTGGAGCTGGGTGTTTTCGGCTGAGTAATCTGACCAATTCAGCAGCTGACTGGTCATAAGGTTGCAGTTTTTATAGGACACAAACGACTAAAGTTGAAGGGTGCTGCTGACTGTGGTTGTGATCCCAAAATCCCCTGGGAGATGAAGCTCACTACACAGGATAAAGCAGCTGAACTTACCCAAGGGTTTGCTTGGTTCGCAGGAAGTCAAAGCAAGGCTCCTCCATGTGCATCTGAAACATGGATGATTTCAGTCAGACCCATTTCTGCCTGCAGCAGCAATCATCAGACCTAGCACAAAACTGATCAAAACAAGTAACAGAGGAAGGCCACTTAAATCCCAATGGATCCCCCCCTTCCCATTATACCACAAGGGGCAAAATGCTAAACCTGGACGACAAAGGATCCTGGCACTTGAACCAGGTTTTGTAGGAAGAAGCTTGCGTCACTGGGTTCCTCAGCAAAACACCTGGCTAATTCTGTCCAGGCACTATATCACCACACAGGTGGAGGTGCTCAGTACCCAAAAATCTAATTAAAGTGGGCCACAGCATGCATGTCACTTCTGTGCTGCGGCTTCTTGACACCAAGTACTGTCTTCCTGGCAGGCATTATAAAGAGCAGACAACTGCTGCTTGTACACATCACTAAGCACTGGACATTTCCTTGGATAGATCGACACTTACCACAAGCAGCTCCATGAGGGTGTATTCTCTTAAACTCCTAGCCCCAGACTGAAAAAAAAAAAATACATATTCAGTGAGAACAACAGGAATTAATTTTGTGCAGCTAAGAGCTACAGTCCAAATCCCAGTAGGGACCTTTGAAAAAGTGAACCAGTACAGGAGTGCAGCACTATGTATATTCATTTCCAGCAGAAAGGCATTCAGATTTCAGGCCTTCCATATATCCTCATTTGGTCCTGCTTTGAGCAGGCGATTGGACTAGACGACCTTCCAGCCCTCACTTTCTGCGATTCAACAGGCAAGGAGGAAGGTGACAGTGTTGCAGAAGGCGGAGGGGCAGGTGACACCCATAGATAATCACATCATCAAGTGGTTCCAGGACCTTGGACGGCCTCATGGGGGAGGGGGGGGGAATAGCATAGCAGAATTCAGTGTGCTTTCTATAAAATCCTCACCAAAGGACTGTTGTATATATTCAAGACAAGCATCAGCAACTGCCACAGGGAAAAAACAAACAGATGTGCCGATATCTTCATCCTAATACCTGATAGTAGACTGTCACTTCTGAGTTGGCATCACCTTTGTTAAGGGTTTTCACCTTACACAGCAGGTGCGTGTTTGGCAGGTCCACCACCCGGAACTGGACAGGGCATGGGTGTGCGAGTGGAACAAACTGCAGCTTTCTGAAGAGAGTCCAAGCAGCGAGTGTCATACACCTGCCCATTCCTTGACCAAGGCAAACCACCAGTCTCACGACCCAGATGCCCCAGAAGCCAAATCAGTCTCCATCCCTCCTCAGGCCACAACAAAATAAATAACACGTCCCATTTCACCTGCCACCATGTCTGAACCCCCAAGGCAGATTTGCAGAAACTAGTGATGGTACAGTTAGTTTTTCTTCTTGAACAGGAAATTTCAAGTTTCCAACCATCTCCCCACCCAAAAAAAGAAACCAGTTAACAGAAGGGCATAAAACTTTGTTATCTGCTTCCCAACTGGAAAGAAGGGAAAAAAAAAAATCAGATACTCACTGAACAACATAATTCAAAAAGTCCTTTGACTCCTAGGAAATGAAGCATAAACAATTCAGGAGAATGGGTCTGTCAGCCCCAGTATGTACTCCACCTATGCCCCCACCAGCCCTGCCCTCCTACTGTTCCAGCACCAAGTCAGTCCCTTCCCTACAAGTTTGGTCTGCTAAGCATAGAAGGGATCAGACATCTCCCAGCCAATATGTTGTCTCAGTGTGGAAGCCAGAAAAGAGGAAATTAATGGGAGAGAAATGGCTCTTGGAGAGTGGGTCTGTAAGTAGGTCGGGGTATGCGCAAAAGGAGCAAGAGGGAAGGGCCTGTCTTGCTCGAGAGGCTGCAAGTGCTCAGAGGGAGCATGCCGGGCTCCAGTGATGGGAGTGCCAGCCAACACGAGGAGGAGCAGCAGCAGCAGCAGATCTTATAGCAAGTGCTGTAGGATGTCTCTGGGAGCCAGTTAAGGCAGGAAGTGTCCACAATGAATTTATTTTACTCCCATGCTTCAGGCAAAATGCATGCAACAATGTTGCAGTGCTGGCTGAACCCCAGCTGCCCCCACAATCCATGAGCCCACAAGGGCAAGTGGGTCATTAGAAGAATCCCTGTCCCCAACAGGACATTAGGAAGTTTCCCCCCCAAACTGACAGTCCAAGGACAAACATGACCAACTAAGGGAAGGTGACAAGTACAAAGTGAAAACCAAGGGTTTGTTCAGGTCTTTCCTCCTTCCTGGCCACACAACAGCATCTGTGATACTGCAGGTGGGACTTGCCCTTGTCATACCTGGGTTTTAATAAAGGCCTGTTAGCAAGGTCAGACTCCTGGCTGGCCCTGCAGCTCTCGGGTGGAAGCGGTCACTGGCTTCTTCAGGAGTTTTGCACAAGAGAAGATAGCAGGACTGGGTCTCACACAGCTCCATTCCAGTCTGACTTTGCCATGGGCTGTATTTCCACTGGTGATTTTAGGGAAGTCATCTACAGCTACACCAGCACAAAGGCACCCCAGTGGTACGCAGTAGAAGCACGCTTGCAAAGACATCAGGGGCAATGCCCTCAACTCCTCCATTTCTGGAGCTTAGAGATAAGCTGAGTGTGCTTAAGCAAGCGGGTGAAATCAACACTACCAATGTGTGCTACACTGCACCCACAGCATTCATCAGGGAGCTGCACTTGGGAGAGAGATCCCCACAGCCGCCAGTGCAAAGGAGGCCACAGGCTGGTGAAACGGCATCGCACCTGGAGTCAGTGGCAACTGAGCGCAAATACTGTTGAAACTTGAGCCCTGATCAGTGAGCAGAGTCCAAGCTTCGTTGGCTGAGGTGTGTACTCACTCGGCTTGTGAAGTTTCCTTGTACAAGACCCTCTACAAAGAGCTGGGACTTGAAAGCCTTGACAAAGGCTGAGAGCAATTCAATGGAAAGGCCTTTCATAAGAGTCTCGTATTTATCTATCATAGACCATCTGCCGTGCTCCAAAATCAAGAGACGCACATCTCTGCAACACAACAGAAACAGAGTATGCGTCACCCAGTGGGGATGCAGAGCTCCGCATACCTCTCATAACATGCCCGGCATGAATTCCAGCACGTCCTTGCCAGCAGCACCAAGTGTTGGGCAGCCTGCCTCAAATCCCAAGTACCCCAGGTAACCCTAGATGAGACACTTGCCGCACCAGCTGCTGAGGATGTCTCGGGAAGGTTTCAAGCCTGCTCCCCAGGACAACACTCTTAAATTGGCCAGAATGTTCCCATCACATTTATAAATATTGTACTCCAGCCCTGGAGACCCCAACATTCGTTTTCACCACTGCCTATGCAAAATATGGCGCAGCAAGTTGTCACTAAAGATGCACTCACTTGGCTGCTAGCAGGCCATCGTGACAATGGAGTTAAAGCAGAGAAAAGTCCATTCTTTACCACCACCCTAAGCCAGAGAAAGGCCCCGTTATCTCCTCATGGACACTTACTTGGCCAGCGTCTCTGGTTTGATGAGGACATTAAAATAAGTTTTTTTCAGCTGCTCCGTTATCATTTCAAAAACTGCTGGAGTAAAACTGAAGTCTGACAAGTGGTCAATGATTAGCTGAAACAGCAGCTAGAAAGAAGAAGAAATGGTTTTGAGAAATTTTAGCCCAGTATTTTTTTGCCAGGAGGACTAAAGTGAATTCTGTCATACAAAACAATAATAGTTTGGGGATCACAAGGGACCCAAGGGGATCTACCATTTCCCTTGAGATTCTGTTAAACCAGAGGTAGCAAATCCCTGGCACATGGTTACCAGCCATGGCCATTTCCAAGCTACAGAAGTGTGGCTAAACAGAAGGCTCCAAAGCCTGTTTCTGAGTGACTGTAGGATGCAGACATGACCACCAGCTTGGTCAGCAAAGTTCAGGATGGAAGGAACATGTCCAGCTACACCAGTAACATGATCCAATTAAAAACACAGCACAAGGCCTGAAAGGAGACATTCAAAAAGACGTTAAATTAAATAATACAAATATCACAGTGACAGTTAGCAATACTGATTGATGTAACCAAATGCATTGAGCTGCTGTTTTCCTAGAACAGATATATATTTTTGTTACGTTTCTTAGGTAAGTTGTAAAAACAAAGCAACCCTGTCAGTGAAGACTATAAATGACAGGAAAGAGAAACCAGGATGGTGGAAGCAGCATTCAATGATGGTGAAGAACAGAGATAAGAAAGAAACCCTTCCTTCTACTTCCCCATGGACATAATCCCCAACTGACTGACACCTTCCAAATCCACAAGAGATCTGGTTCAGTCCAGTCCCAAAAGGTTTCAGTGAAATAAAGAAATGTAATATTTATTAGACTATTAGCACAAGTCAGCTGTAAATATAGGGCACAGGCTAGAGGGACACTCAAGAATTCAGCAAATTCAAGATGACCTGCTGCTAACCTGGGTGCCACCCTCCTCCTTTCCCCAGCCGGTGCAGGTAAGAATCTATGTGCTGAC